GGGCCGGTTCGAACCCGCGGCCGCGGCCTCCGATCCCGCTCCGGCCTGCGGGGCTGGCCGTCTGTGGCTCCACCGACAGACGCCTCCGCACCGTGAACCTGTCTGGGCGCCTCCCCGGCCAGACCGACTCCACGAGGAGGCATTTTATTTTTCGTCCACGTTGCCTCTGCCTCTTGCGTCTCAAATTTTGGCTCCCATCTAAGGCCCTTCCTCTCCGAGACACAGGATGTCTGTTTCTCTCTCTCTTTTTGAGTCGGAGTCTCTGTCGCCCGGGCTGGAGGGCAATGGCACGGTCACGGCCACCGGCAGCCTCGACCTGCTGGGCTCCGGCGATCCTTCCGCCTCAGCCTTCCAAGGAGCTGGAACTACGGGCGCGCGCTACCACGCCCGGCTGATTTTTTGATTTATTGTGGAGATGAGGTCTCCCCGAGTTGCCCAGGCGGGTCTCGAACCCGCGGGCTCAGGCAATCCTCTCTGCTGGGCCTCCCAAAGTGCTGGGCTTACAGGCTTGAGCCACCGTGCCGGCTTTTCTTTTTTCTTTCAAACCAAGAAAATACTCACGCCGGGTTGAGGTCATTTATAAGGGAGAAGTTTAGAGACTTGTGCTCAAGCTTCTAACCTCAGCAGTTCACATCTAGGCACCTGGGTGTTGCTTGAGATTTCTACAGTGGGCATCCGAACACTGGCTTCCTCAGTAGTGCTGCATGAATTACTGCATTACAGTTGATTTATGGGAATGCTGTTGCTTCTGGGGCAATTCGGGGCAGTTGCTAGAAAAAGCGGTGGGTGGTTTTAAGAGTGCAGTTGGCAGGGTGGAGAGGCCATCTCACCCTCTATGAGATTTGCGGGTCGCAAAAGGGCGAACGTGAGGATTGAGGAAACTTCACTGGAAATCCTTTAGGCACCGGTTTCTGGTGACAGCCCCAGGGAGCCTCAGGCCCGGAGGAAACGTGACTGTCGGGGTGGACCTTCTGGAACACAGCCCCTCACAGGTCACCGTGAAGGCGGAGCTGCTCAAGACGGAGTCGAACCTCACCGTGTCTGTCTCAGAAGCAGAAGGGGTCTTTGAGAAAGGTAAGGTTCGACACCACGGAGTCTTGCCCTTCCTTCTGCGGTGGTAATTGGGGTATGTTAATGGAGATGTGTTTAGAAACCTCACCTTTGCAGTGGGTTGCATGATACACTCGTGTGAAGTCCCGTGTGGCGCTTGTGGGACTCTTCGAAGTGAGGACCCAGGCTCCTTCATTTAGTGGCTCCTTTACGATGGCTCCCACGTGACTCCCAGGACTACAGGAGGAGAACTTGGGGTTCCTGGTGTGGAAGTGGTCACTGGTGGGGCTGAGAAATGGTTCATGTCACACCTGCTCGTATTCAGACCGCAAAGGAGGCAGGGAGTTGTGGGTTCATGCATCCAGAGGAGGAAGCAGGCGTGGTCTCTGATAAAAGACTGTATTTATTGGGTGCAGAATATTTTACTAAATAGGCCTGTGGGAAGGAAAAGAAGAACTGTATGGTGGTTACTAAATAGGCCTGTGGGAAGGAAAAGAAGAACTGTATGGTGGTTAAAATCCAGTTTTATGGAATATTTTTTAATGTTTAAAGTAACTGGGAAAAAGTAGTATGCAAGCAGGATCTATTTGTAACAAAACTAGCATTTCTTGTTGCAAGTTTGGGCTCTGAGCTGGTCGGGGATTAAGTTGGGCCAACCATGTCTTGCTTTTCAATACTGAGGGAAAAATTATTTTTGAGAGAAGGGCTAAATACTTACATACTTAAACATTTTTTTCCATTAAAATGAACATGTATCTATATCTGTCTATATATATCTATTTATTTCTAATTGCAAGAGCAGTATGTACTTGAACTTGGTAAACACTGGAAGTAGAGGAGAGAAACCCTCATCCCCTGTGATCCTGCAACCCCAAAAAACACACTTAACTGGAAGCATATTTGGCTAGAAATAGAGGCATGAGTTCCTACAATGTTGAGAGTTATCTTTAAAAAAATCATGTAAAGGGCAGAATGAAAGGTGGATGGGATTCTTAACAGTTCATTATTTAAAAGTTTATCTTCGCCGGGCTCGGTGGCTCAGCCTGTAATCCCGCACCTCTGGGAGGCTGAGGTGAGTGGATTGCCTGAGCCCGCGGGTTCGAGACCCGCCTGGGCAGCCAGTCCTCATCTCTACAATAAATCAAAAACTCAGCCGGGCGTGGTAGTGCATGCCTGTAGTTCCAGCTACTCGGAAGGCTGAGGCGGAAGGATTGCCGGAGCCCAGCAGGTCGAGGCTGCGGTGGCCGGGAGCGGCCACTGCACTCCAGTCTGGGTGACAGAGTGAGACTCCAACTCAAAAAAAAAAAAAAAGTTTATCTTCTACCAGCATGGCAAAATCAGCACCATCACGGAGTGAGATAAAAGTGAAAATTGGCCAGGCGCAATGGCTCAAGCCTATAATCCCAGCACTTTGAGAGGCCAAGGCGAGAGGATTGCCTGAGCCCGCGGGTTCGACACCTGCCTGGCCAACTTGGCGAGACCTCGTCTCTACAATAAATCAAAAAATTAGCCGGGCGTGGTGGTGCGCACCTGTAGTTCCGGCTACTTGGTAAGGCTGAGGCATAAGTTTGTCCTGAGCCCAGCAGGTCGAGGCTGCGGTGGCTGGGAGCATGCCCCTGCACTCCAGCCTGGGTGATGGAGTGAGACTCTGACTCAAAAAAAAAAAGTGAAAATTGATTACATCTGTGGCTCTTTTCCCACCGAAAGGTGACTGGGTAGGAAGATTTGGAATAGGAGACAAGGAGGGATGGCGTGTGCAGGGGTGGAAGTACCTGTTAGCCTTCAGGGCTGAGTTTTAATCCTAGCACTACTCACCACTGGTTGTGTGTCCTTGGCAAGGTTACCTAATTGCTTTGAGTCTCAGTTTCCTCACCTGTAAAATGGAGATAAGGAAACTGACTTCCCAGGTTGGTTATAGAGGCAAGTCAGCATGTCGTGCCTCTTAGGCGCTCAGCACAAGACAGTTGCTAATATTATTAGCGTAATAACACTACAGAGATGCAGAAAGCCTCATTCCTTGTTATGTGGGCGCAGATCTCAACGCTCATTATTGAATGATCATTTCTGAAAATGAATGAATCCTGATCTTTTGGTAGCAGCTAAAGAAAATATTGAAATAGTAACTCGCAGGGCATGATACTTAAGGTAGTTCCACGTTCATTACTTATCCACTAAGGATATATAATTTTGGCTCCACTAGTGTGGTAGTTTTACTGTAGTGCAGAGACCCAGAATAATAGGGATGCTTTTGATAGATATTTGGGTTTTGCTGAACATTTACATACTCTTATTCTAGAATTTCCCCCGTTACTGTTTTTCCCCCCTGCAATCTTCAAGAGAGTCTGAAGTGCTTGTTGTTGTAGCTTGGTTTTAACTTTATGAGATTTTCTTGGGGGGGAGGAGGGTCCCTATGTGCCCCTGGGAAATTTCACGACCTGGTCAGACAGTGCCAGCCTGGGAGCAGAGTGCATCTTTGAAAAGGAAAGAGGGAAAATGCTGCTTTTCTCATGGGCTGTTTTTGACTCTGTTGACATCAGTTTCATTGAAAATGCCTTTGCTAGGAGCGCTCTCTTTCAAAGGAGAATGCTACTCTATTATCAGAGGCTGGGAGTTATTGTTCTCAGAGCAGATGCTTCCTGTGAAGTTAGGACTTGAGGATGGAGACATTACTCCCTTCTGGTCTCTATATTCCTTTGCTGCATCTGACTTCTCCATTTGCAAACGATATGTAGGTAAACAAGGCCTTCTAAATCAAAGGGGACTGGATCTTCTTAGGATTCAAATAAACATAAACAAACAAATACCTTTGAAATCTGATAGTTTAATCGCTTTCTTTTTACACCCCCCTCCCCCCCAAAAATGGTGGGTTTTAATAAAGATTTATCTTCTAGCAGAGTTGGAAAGGCAGGGTCTTTCTGAGTAGATCATTCCTGGCAGTCCTGAACTGAGAAATAAACCCCAGGGCAGGGAGGTGTTTGACCCTAACTAGAATGTATTTCCGGCTTAGTTTGTGTCAGAAATAGTAATAACCAAAGAGTTCAAATTACAAACTATACTTTAATAAAGGCAGCAAAGGATGGCTTTTCCTCAGGGAAGAATTCATTTATTTGTTTGACAGATACGGGGAACATTTTATTTACTTTTCTGCTCTTGAGGCCAGCAGCGCTGGTCGCATTGTTCATATTCGTTTTTTAATACTTGAATTTTACAGGGATTGAGGGTCGGTGGTTGTTTCTTTGGGTGAATAATTGCTCTTTAGAAAAAGTGTTTCTATGACACTTTGCAGTTTTCTCTAAAGGTGTATGAATGCCCCTTTAGTGGGGAGGCTCAGATTCCTTGTCATTATCACCATGGTCACCATGCCACCATCATCACTCCAAAGTGAATTGAACTATGTTCATAATCTTATCTTCCTTTGTACAAGTAGTTAGTCAAATAAACATTGTTGACAAAACCCAGAAAGAATTCAGCAGGTAATAATTTCCAGGGGAGAGAAGATGGAGCTCTTGGGATTTGAAATCAAGTCATATTCTAGTGTAGGGTGTACAGTGAGTCTGTTCTTTTTCTCTTCCCTTTCTGGTTTTTATTTCCTTCCTTACTGGAGATCGCCCTGGAGTTCTGTGCCAAATCAAGAAAACAGTTAAGAACATTTGAGTTCACAGGTCATAAGTGAGAACTGTCTTCTCATCTGTTAAGGCATATGAAATAACTGAATTTTTCTGATGCCCATGAAACCACAATTTCTGTTTTTTTCCCTCCCTACTTTTTCTGCAATTTAAAATTTTCATTTGTGAACTTTCAGTATTATTCCTGGTCAAGATTTACTTCAAATAATGAAGAGTACAGTCCTTCTGCCCTATTAGGGAATTTATTGTCACTGGTTTCACGTAAGCCTGACTTAAGAAAAAGCCTAGACTAAGCTGGGTGTGGTGGCACGAGCCAGTTACTCATCACTTGAGCTTAGGAGTTCAAGACCAGCCTGGGCATTATAGCAAGACCCCATCTCAGACAACAACAACAGCAGCTACAGTAACAACAAGAAACCCTAAACTGAAAATGCCAGCTGAGATGCACAGGGCCTTGGTGTGGGCATCTACTGAGCGCCAGCCAGTTGGGGTGCAGTTTCCTTGTGTCTGTCTGGGCCACTCGCGTCTCCCTGAGGAGGAGGTGTTGGGTGACACGTGCCCTGTCATGTGTTTGCGTCCTTTCATAACTAGCTTTTCCTTTTTGCCCTAAAACCTTGGAGAATTAATGGAGGGCTTACCTTCTGTTTTTTAAGATCTAAAAATCTGTGCTTCCCTTTGGTGTCTTTTTTTCTTTGTGGGATATTTTCCATCTTAGTTCAACGAAGGCGAGACATTTTTTAAATTCTAGATGTTAGCTGAAAAACTTAAAAAAAATGCCGATGGCTCTGTGGTGGAAAGAGAGCTCCTGATGGCATATCTTATGCTTTGCAGGTCAGGTCCAACCTTTAAGAAAGAGATTGACTGGTGCAGTATGGCAGGCTGCCAGGGCGGGCTTCCAGGCGACTCTGCCCAGGGAGCAGTCTGAGCCTGTCGCTGCGTGAGGATTGCTGGAATGGTGTGGGCTCTTTGCTCACACATTCAGCTTGCTGTTGTGTGTGATATGAGGCAGGTAGGTGGTGCCCCCGATGGAGGCCCCAGTGTGAGACCCACGTGGCTCCCTGCACCACGCCAGACCTCATGGTCCTGTGGCCCGGGCAGGTATGAGCTCCCCAGGCTTCTGTTCTGCCTTCCGAAAAATCATGGTTTTTGTCTTACATGCTCAGAGTCTTACAGTCATTGTGAGGTTGGGTGAGGTGACATACTTAAAGCTCTTAACACATAGGAACTACTTAAGAAATTAGCAGCTACTCTTATGGGAAGAAACAGGCAGCCCTGGGTGTCCAAGGCAATTATTAGTCACCTGTTGAGAGGAATGTATGCTGAGGACTCTCCAAAAGGCACTTCCCTAGGAGGGAAAAAAACAATACTGTGTTTTTTCATAGTGCCTGGGACTTTATG